GACTGAAACAGGAAGTCAGAGGGACTGAAACAGGAAGTCAGAGGGACTGAAACAGAATGTCAGGAAGACTGAAACAGGATTCCAGAGTGGAAATGGCAAGATATCAGGGACTGAAATTACTGCAGGACAGATTTATCCAGTTCACTGATCACTGCTTGTTTGGTCATATGTACTTTCCAGTGGTGCACGAGGGCAAAAGCAGCTCAGTGCCGCATAGGTGTTTAATTTATATATGTGTATATAAATATATATGTGTATTTTTTTATATAAAACGCAAAAGCAGCTCAGTGCCCCATAGGTGTTTAATTTATATATATGTATATAAATATATATGTATATATGTGTATTTTTTAATATAAAACAATGTACCTTATCATTGAAAATATCGTTCCAGAGTGGGGAATAAAACATTGCACTGGGCTTATTTGCGGCAATGTTAATCTTTATTTCATACATAATTCATGGGAGTATATAGCACAGCAGCAATCTGGCAGTGCAGAGGCTAGGGCACAGGTGGCAGAGCAGCTAAGGAACAGAGTCTCACATCAAAGAACATGCTAGTCTCTCCTTAAAACAGATTCTTCACCTGAATTTCTCCAGTAGGCATTCTGCTATATACATTCAGTTAAAAGCGCCTTAAAAATCTACTAATAATATTAATTATCTTTACATTTATACGTTCAGGGTTCTTTTTTATGTTCTAGGCTTAAGATAATGACCCGTGATTTTAGGCTGGATTCATTGTCACATTGACCATTGAAATACGTTAATATGCACCGGGGACAAGGAAAAAACATATATAACCATCACAGGCTAGCAACAGGTCGATCAGCCTCCGAGACATAATGTAACGTGTCAATTGGAAACGGCTAAATGGTGTCGTAAGAGAATTGACTCCAGCGAGACCTCAGCACTTAGAGAGCCCTGATCTGAGCAGGTTACCCAGAATTCCCCTCGGGGAGTCAGAGGGCTCCCCTTAACGTGCAATGCATTAATTGCACGTAAACCAGTTCTGGACGCCGAAGCAGTATTTACGTTCAGTGCATATTAATGTGTTTATGGAGCTAATTTTGGTGTTTGCCTTTGTAACCAGCAAGAATTTGTTGGTCTACGAGGGTCTTAGTGATAGAAACCTGAAGGGAAACGTGGCTTTGAGGGTGGAGCTAGTTTAACATGAGCATTACGACGCCGACCGCAGTGGAGAGAGAGAAGAAGACACTGATCTCAGATCTAGGGGGCCGGTGGCCGCAGCCTGCACAGGGGAGACACCATACAGACATACAGCTTTATACTGAGTGATATTTTACTGCCATTAGCCCTCTAAAATTCAGAAAGGCTAACTAAAAGGTTTGGCACTTTTCCTCCTATAATATAAAAACTACAAAATTAGTCCCTACATCTACATGCTAAAGCACACCTACAAAAATATTTAAAAATACATGATATTTTTACGTGCCATAAAATACATTTAAACACAAAAATTTTAATATCTCCCTTACCTGCGGCAGAGGAGAAGTAGGTGGATTCAGCTGTCAGGAAAAATAACAGGCAAAATGACGGGTGAGCTCTCAGCGGACATGTTATGGAAGTCCAGCCACGAGACCGGCAGTGTTTAGCAGGAACAATGCAAATCATTAGAAAGCCTATTAATGAAATGTACCCTAACATGTGCTGTTCAGAGATGCAGTGTTTACATGCAGTGCTTAATGTGGTGTCAATTTCACTCACTTGCGCCAGTTAAGGTAGCAGCACCTGTCAGGGAAAATATCAGAGAGATATAAAATGAAATTAGTTCCCCACACTTACAGCATTCGACACGTCTGGTCTGCGTAAAAGATTAAAATTGCAAGATATTAAACAGTGCACTTTACCCTACAAGCTAACCTAACAGAGGGAGACTGAGGATTATCGTAATTTTTTGTATTGTGTGTCCATAAAAATGGTGACGAGACTATGGCTTACCGTCTTCTGCGGTGTAGATGGGACCTAGGGAAACTGTTGCTGAGTCAGCTGACGGCTCTCCGAAGGCTTTGGCACCCCTCCTTTTCCTCGTGGTCTTACAAGCCTGGAAAATAAATGATTTATTAGTGTAGTGCGCCATGTCAAAATCGGTACAATTTCATATGAGTTAATATAAGATTTTAACCAAAGCAACTTACATATTGTGTTATTATTCCTCTGTGTGTGTATATATTGTCCCTTAATGAAAATGCTATCAACTGACCTACTCAGTGCAATATATTTATTTTTTCTTGGTGTAAATGGCTACATATAACCTATTATTCAAGCGGAATACTTTGTAGAAAGGTGCAGCATTCAAGTCAGTTTTGTGATATACAACAGAGGAAACGCTCAGCTTGGTTTGGGCAAATATGAGGTTCCTTAACCCTTATACATCCTGCTGGGGCAGCGGCTGTACATTCCACTCACATTCATGATCTCCAGGCATTTGCTGGGTTCACAGAGCCTCACGATGCAGTTAAGGAAGATGCTGGACCTATCCTTGTTGCGGTGCTCCACAAAGCGGAAGGCCTCAAAAGAAAACCGGGATGCCTTGGAGATGCCGTTCTGGTACACAACCGTCCGTGGGTCCAGATGACAACTACACAAGACAGAACGAGGCCCGTGGTCAAGGTGCTGTTGACCCAGCACCAGAAAAGTCAGCATTTTGACAGCTGGGCCCACCCATTCAGATAAATGAGTTTATATATATATAAATACCCTCACCCTCATGTAACTCTGTTCCTTCACATAACTATGGTACGGTGCTCAGCACAAATGAATGTGTGAGCTCCCTCTAGTGGTGCTCTTTTGGTAGGAAAGTTGTGGCTGTATTATTGTGGCAGTAACCATACTGTAAACATCTAAGTCTGTTTAAGAAAACATGCAGTGATAAGCTTCACTAAGGCCTACCCAGATTTAATCCAGGCCCACCCATGAGCCACTTTCTGTATCTGCCATCAGCTCAAAGTCTTACTAGCTGCAGTGAAGCCGTCACAAAATGTGAAAATAAAGAAACAGACGACATGGAAAATTCTTGTCTGTCGACGTACATCAGGAGACCACACCCTGTTTTCAGCGCCTGTCATCAGAGATGATGCATACGTACCCAATGAAAAAGTTGTGAACATGAGTGGTGGAGCCGTTCAGGGGCGATGGGGTGGCAAAGCATTGATCCAGCAGCAGGTTTAAACTGAAAAATAAGAGAGCAAAGAGTTTCTGTTCTGCTAAAAGTGGTGTCGAAACAGTGAGGACCCCTAGGGTGGCCAAAAATACTCTCGACTTATTGAATTCTTTTTATCTGAAATTTCAAATGAACTTCAAAAATCACAAAAGTTTCAAATGAACTCTTTAGTGTGAGTAGAAACAATATAAAAGTACTTGGTGAATTTTAACGCCCATTTGTATAGTCTAGGATATCAGGCCGACCCCAACCACCACCCCCCCCACCGACGGCAGGACCTTACTGCCTACCTGTTACTGAGGTTGGTGGCCTTGACTTCAACAAAGATCGGTCTGCGCAGGGGGAGTCCAGTGGGGGGGATATCCAGCGGCACAGTGTAGTTTGTGTCCTGATGGTCGGGGATTTATGAGAAAACAGCTTCAGCTGTCCTTCACACCCAATATCAATTCATCATTATTTCCCCTTTTCTTGTATGTATGACATTCAATCTTCCACACACACATACTTGCAGACACACATGATTTTTTTTTTAATGGACAGTCATCATTAGGGTGACCACTGGCATGGCTCTAAAAAGACGGACAAATCTGTCCAACAAGGAGGACAGAGAGTGAAAAAGGGGGACACCCATGAAAAAATGATCAAGCGCAGAGGAAGGGGGTAATTATCTTGTTATCTCGAGATAAGAGCATAAAAAATCATTCCAAGCGCAGCTGTTCTTGGCTTCCATACAGTAGCATGTGTGTGGGGGCGTTTTATGTTTTTTGTGTGACCGGGGGTGGGGGGGATGGGTAGGGGTGTAAGAAAAAAGGTGGAAAACGGGGGCTAAAACGATGACACTCAACAGCATTTCAGACAGAGGGCTGGAAAACCAGAATGTCCAGCAAAATCTGGACGAGTGGTCACCCTAACCATCACTATTTTACTAACCATCAGTGCGTCTTCCCTGCAGCATGTAATTACCACAGCAGACTGACAACACGACCATACTCACATTGTACACGTTCATGCTCAGTGTGTTTGCAAAGCTGCCATTGTTGTTGTTCGTGGCCAAGGACACTGAGGATCTAAGAAGAGAAACACACAGCCGTCACAGAGAGACCACAGTAACATGGTGCGACATATTACAGTGAGCCATCACACGGTGGGACAGATTACAGTGAGCCATCACACGGTGGGACAGATTACAGTGAGCCATCACAGGGTGGGACATATTACAGTGAGCCATCACACGGTGGGACACATTACAGTGAGCCATCACACGGTGGGACA